AGGAACCCCTTGGCTGGCCCGTGGTGTATGGCCGGCCCGAGGTGGCCACTCCGAGTGGGCTTGGGAAGCCCACTTCGGATGTGCGTTGGTGGGCTGCGGATAGAGGGGTGTCCGCTCCCTCTATCGCTGCAGCCGGGGTGGAGTCGCGGAGGAAGGGGAGTGCTGGTATGGCGATGCGCCACTCGCCCTGTCCTCCGCGACTCAGACGGTGCCGCACCGTTGATGCGGTGGTGGTGGGGCCGCGGGGGGAGAGGAGTGTCGGTATTGCGAGGCACCGCTCTCCCTACCCTCCGCGGCCGAAACTTGGTAGGCGGCGGAGACCGAGACCAGATCCGCCGCTAGGGTCGGGAAAGCGGGCGCTATTAAGCGCTCGATTTTCCGGGCCCCATGGCCTCCGCGTATCGGACTCGGGGGGGGGGGGTCCAATACGCAGGTGGAGTAGGAGGCTGTGGAGGGGGGTAGCTGAACACCTCGCTACCCCTTTGTTTCTCCCAAATAGGGTTCATTTATAAGGGCCCCATGAATGTCATTTTCGCTCAAAAATATAGCAAGCTCGTGCTGCGCTTCCTTGCAGCGTCCAAGATTGCATTGTACAAAATTGATAAAATTAAGATTTTTAACACATTCCTTTATATTAGTATGCTGATTACTACTTACATTGATTATGAGCAAATGTGGTGTTTTTAAAAGAAAAACTTTTACGCCAGGTCTCCACGGTTTCCTTCTTATTTTCTGTTTTGGCAGTTACAATAAGGGCGTGTTTGGTGCGTCACTGCTCAGGAGCTTTCTGAATAGCAGGAGTTGATTTTACAATATGGGCATAAGAGGGCTGTTTTAGTTCTGTTTTTAATATCGCTAACTCTTCTTTAATGCACCCCTTAATAATACTGTGAATTTTTCCACTGTCAGTGCTTCCAGAACTAGCTTCAGTACGGGTTGATAATTGCATTATTTCATTGGCCATGTTAATAATGCTACTTTTCCTTTCAGCTGTAACACTTTTACCATTTTGAATGCAGGTGATAATGTCCTTGGCCAGCTGAGAGATGTTTTGTGAAGCTGTAAAACTCTGACTAACAACTACATCCATACCAGTGATTTCAGGCTGGGACATCATAGTAAAATGTAAAAAAAAAGTTTTTGAAACAAGACTAAGAATTAACCAAATTAATGACAAATAATACAAATAAAACAATATAAAACAATAACAATAAAACAATAATGGAAGGGTGGAAGGGAGATTTTCTTTGATGCCGTGTATTTTATTTTGCCGATATAAGTGCAGTTAGCAGTTTACACAGACGGACCTCGGTTTAGGTAAGTATCGATTTTCTCTAATTCTGTGTGTTTTATTTTGCAGATTTAACTTCAGTTGGCAGTTTCTACACGGGGCGGACCTAACTCGATTTAGGTAAGTATCGATTTTCTCTCATTCTGTGTGTTTTATTTTGCAGATTTAACTTCAGTTGGCAGTTTCTACACGGGGCAGACCTAACTCGGTTTAGTTAAGTATCGATTTTCTCTAATTCTGTGTGTTTTATTTTGCAGGTTTAACTTCAGTTGGCAGTTTCTACACGGGGCGGACCTAACTGAAGCAAAAAGAGCCCAATAAACAAAGATTTGAATTTTTTTTAAATTTATTGAAAATACGTCTCTAAGAAAAAGAATTGTATGAAAATTAGCAATTTAACTGTGAAAATGGTATAAAAACTACAAGGAATTACAGGGGGCAATTAAATACACTATTTAAAAGAAAATTTGAGCAGAAAAGACCTATTTTCAGCAAAGTTACAGATGAATTTATGTTTTTGTTTATATATTTTCGACTATAAAAGAATGAAAAACGTGAAAATTAATTATATAACAGTAAAAATTTACTAAAAAAACTATAGGGTAATATGGGGGACAATTAGTTGTACTATTTAGAAAAAATTTTAACAAAAAAGACGAAGTTTTAGGAAAGTTATAAGCTAAGATATGGTTGGTTAGGCTAGGTTTTTTTTTATTTATTTTTTTGTCTAGTTCCCCCTAACATGGAGATCAGGGACTTTTTTTTCTTCCTTTTATATTTTTTATTTCATTTCTCTTTCTTTTCTTTATTAATTTTTTATTTTGTCTTTTTTGCTTTTTTCTTTTTTACTTTCTTTTTTAAAATTCTTTCATATAATAATGTTCTTATTTCTATTGTACATATGTCTTACTTTGCTAATACATTTTACTTATCAATATATCTTAATCTACTTTTATTTTGGTTGGTTTAACAATTTAACAGGACTATTCACATTATATATCTATATATAATTTACAGTTCCCTTTTTTACTTTCATTTATTCTTATGTACTACTTTACTAGCTATAGCCTTACAATATTTTAAAAACCTATCTCTTATATGTTTGTTTCTCATTATATTACATATGTTGTCTTTACTTATTTTTATTTGTAATTCCACCTCTATTTCGTTTCTATCTTTGCTGTAAACTGGACATTCCGTAATCACATGCATCGCGCTGTCCTCTTTTATCGGATCGCAGGCGCATGCCGGGCTCTCCTTACACTTGAATCGGTGTGCAAGTATTCTGAGAACCCGCCATGTCCCGTCATCACCTGTACCGTGAGCGAGTCTATTTTTATCTTCCTTATAATAGGATAGGCGCTTAAAGCGTCTGGGAAGAACACTTTCGTTACTGAAGCGGTTTCGCCTTCCACGTAGCGTCGGTTCCACTCGTCAAGTGAATTAAGACGGATTTCTCGCTTGACGAATGATACCGGGCACCTCTCATAGTCCGGTTTCCGTTTTATTTTTAAGGCGGCTTCCTTTGCTAACTCATCTGCTCTTTCGTTTCCCTCCAGCCCTGCGTGTGCTTTTATCCAAAACAATTTTAGCAATTATCCTTTTTTGTTTATTTCCGAAATATTTTTTCTAATTTTTGCCGCTAGGGGATGGAGGGAAACGCTCTGGACAGCTGTCTGGAGAGCAGATCTTGAGTCGCTGTAGATATTGCAGCTCGGTGCCAGACTTTTTAGGGCATAATTTGTTGCTTCATATATGGCCAGCAACTACGCCTGGTAGACAGTGCAGAAGTCTTCCAATTTAAATTTTCGGGTACTTATCTCCGCTGCGTCATTCCAAATGGATAACGCAGCGCCGCCTTTCCCCTCAATTTTACTACCGTCTGTGTAGATTTTAAGACCTTTATTGTTGTGTTGGTCGACTTGTGCACTATCCTCCAGGTATACAAACTGCAGCCCAACCTGATTCGCGGGGTGAGGTGTCTTCGCGTATTCCAGTTTCCGTTCCACGTCCCGATCTCCTACTATCCGCTGCGAGTAACCTTTCTTTACTTTATAAAGTAAGACTGCTTCCCGAACCCTGAGATCCAAAGGAAGCAACCCAGCGAGTAGTAGGGCCGAGTGGAGGGATACGGTTTTGTATGACTTTATGATCTTTTGAACGAACCCGCGTTGTGCCGTCTCGAGCTGCTTTTTAACACTCTGTTTGTATGTGGCCGATGCCCATACACTAGCTACGTACAATATGATCGGCTCTGTTACCGCTACGTAGATGGTCCTAATGATCTCCGGGTTCAGGCCCCAGCCAATCTTTGCAGCTCTTGTTAATTGGCAATACAGCTTTTGTACCTTGCAACACACACTTTTCACATGTGTGTTGAAGGTCAACTTGGCGTCTATAGTTAATCCCAATATATTTATTTCCGTGGACAACGCAATGTTCTCCCCGCCCATTTTCAGAAGTGGTGAGTCATACTTTGTCTTTTTTGTTATTACCATTGCTTTGGTCTTATTTGGTGCAAATTTGAGTTTATTTTTAACTCCCCACTTCTGAACATGCGCGAGAGCTGCGTTGGCCCGTTCCTGCACTTCAGATGCCTTATCCCCGGAGAAAATCAGGACCACTTCGTCCGCGAAAGCCTGGCAATATTCCCCTTTTTCACTCAATTCCTGTAATAGAGGGTCTATCAGCAGATATCATCTCACCCGGCCTCGCCTTACTTCTAAAAGGCAGCACCTTCAAAACGAGCATAAAACGTAAGAAGTATGAGGCGCTACAGAAGATAAAAGTAGCAAACAATCACTGCCGAATAGTCCGCACGCGAAACAAAACCATCGCACTATTCGAAAAAGGCGACGACATCATCGAGTTCGCCCAGGCATGCTCAGTGCTAGCTGTGCTTGCGGAGGCAGGTGAGGCTAAAGAAGTACCAGCTAAAATAATAAACGTAGACGCTATGGTGGTAGAATATGAGAAAGGGAAGGTAGAAGACTATATGGGAGTGTTAAAAGCCTCGGAACAACATGAGGTGGTGGTATACGAAGACAGAGGTGAAAACCTCAGTTTTATGAAACCACTCAGACCCAAGGAACCTTTATGCTCGTACCCTACTAACAGCAGGGAATATCCCATAGTAAACCCAGAAGAAGTATTAAGCGGATCCGAGCGCTTGCAACAAAAAATGGACGCCGAAAGGAGAAAAGTTAAGCGGCCACGAATAATCCCAGCCGAAACAATAGACAAAGTAGCAGCAGTCGCTAGCATCTTCGGTCAAGTCATCGCTGCAATCCCCGCAGTAATTCCTAAAAAAAGAGAATATCTGAGGTCAACAGAAAAGATGGTAGCCGCTGTTAAGAGCTTTGCAAAGCACTTCCCCAAAGGTCAAAAAAGAAAACCCCTATGCACATGGATGAAAGCAGACATGGGACAAGTCACTCTGCCGAGCCTCAGGGAAGTATCGCAGCCCCAGGACCATTGGATAAATGCATTCCTAGAGTTTAAAGCTATCGTAAAAGCTACCAGAGAGGTGAATATCGTAACCTGCAAGACCATCTTGGAAATCTTTCACCGAGGTTGTGAAGATCAGCTTGTGGTGAAGCTCGAGGAATCCGAAGCCGCAGTGTACAACAACGATGAGCGGTTGGGTCAACTTGTCTTTCGAGCACCTCCTCACGACCCCATAGTGGTAACAGCAAACTGTACGAGAGTTATGCTTGAGGACAAGATCCTGGACAGGCTTAAGGCTGTGTCCATAACCTTGGAGGAAGGCGGCACTCTTGGGCATTGGCAGTTACCAAAAATAACATGGGTCAATGGCGTACCCGGGTGTGGAAAAACATCTTGGGTTATTAATAGTTTTGAGGCGGAAAAAGATATCATAATAACAACAACAACTGTAGCTGCAAGCGACCTGAGGGAGAGGCTAGCATCACGTGTAGGAGCCGACGCAGCAAGGAAGGTGCGGACTATGGCCTCAATCTTGGTAAATGGCATAACGGCGTCTGAGAAATACACCCGTCTCTTAACTGACGAAGCGCTTATGAACCATTTTGGCGCCATAGTAATGGCAGTACAAATCACGGGTGCAAGTGAAATTTTTCTTATAGGCGACAACAACCAGCTGCCGTATATCGACCGGCACGATCTGTTTCGACTGCACTATACTCGTCCAAATCTAGTGGCTAATATCAACCACGAATGGCTCTGCACACACAGATACCCATTGGATGTAGCGTATGCACTAAATGAGATCTACGAGGGCATTTACTCATCCAATACTAGGCTGCGATCCCTAGAGCTGAAGAGTTACACGGGTTCACAGATTCCAAAGTCCCTTGAAAATACGTTATATCTGGGACACACCCAGGCTGAAAAGGAAAATCTCATCAGCCAGGGCTACGGAAAAGGGAAGGGTTCGCGAACTCTTACCATACATGAAACTCAGGGGCTCGTGAGCGAGACGGTGGTAATTGTGCGATCAACCAGAGAGCAACAACGCCTATACAACAGTATTCCCCATGCAGTGGTGGCAATCGCACGTCATACGAGGCATTGTACCTACTTTACAGACTGGTGTGAGGAAGATGCAGTTGCCCGTTTCATTTTGCGCGCCGAATCTGTCACCACAAGCAGAATTAGGGATTATAACATCAAAACGGCAATATATCATCGAGACTTAAAGGTTGCGAACAACATTATGAACCTGGTCCGAGACGAAGTGGCGTAAACGACATTCAAACGATAATATTAAAGTGATTTTAAAGCTAAAGGACGTGATCGCAACAATGTTTTGTGTTTTACTTTAATTATTTTTAAAATAAGGCTGTTTTGTGAATTGTAGTTAGGTTATGTTAGGTTAGGTTCCCCCCCGAACGGGTTCCCGCCTTGTCGTGGCGGGGGGGCTTAGTAGCCGTGGCTTGGTCACCCACGGTGAACAAAGAGGAACCCCTTGGCTGGCCCGTGGTGTAGGGCCGGCCCGAGGTGGCCACTCCGAGTGGGCTTGGGAAGCCTACTTCGGATGTGTGTCGGGGGGCTGCGGTAAGAGGGGAGTCCGCACCCTCTACCGCTGCAGCCGAGGTGGAGTCGCGGAGGAAGAGGAGTGTTGGTATGGCGATGCGCCACTCGCCCTATCCTCCGCGACTCTGACGGGGCCGCACCGTTAATGATGCGGTGGTGGTGGGGCTGCGGGGGGAGAGGAGTGTCGGTATTGCGAGGCGCCGCTCTCCCTACCCTCCGCAGCCGAATCTTGGTTGGCGGCGGAGCCATAGACCAGATCCGCCGCTGGGGCCAGGAAGGCCGGTGCTTCTGAGTGCTAGGTTTTCCTGGCCCCATGGCTTTCGCGCATCGGACTCGGGGGCGTCTGTTGCGCATTGGAAATTGGAGGCCGAGGAGGAGGGCGCGCCATGTGTTCTGGTGCGCCTTACCTGAGAAGGAGATGGGGGAGGAGTAGTCCTCTCCCGAGGAGGGGCCGCTATGGAGTGGCCAGCGCAGGTGGGGCCGCGGAAGTGTGCGAAAGCGTTCCCGTGGCCCTGCCAATATGCGACAAGGGTGGAACACCATGGGGTTTTAGTCGGTGCGAGTCCGACATAACCCGTCCTTGCCCCCGCGAGGCGGGTATGCGTAGGCATTTCCCCATGTAAAAAAAAAAAAAAAAGGTTAGGTTAGGTTAGGTTAGGTTCCCCCCCGAACGGGTTCCCGCCTTGTCGTGGCGGGGGGGCTTAGTAGCCGTGGCTTGGTCAACCACGGTGAACAAAGAGGAACCCCTTGGCTGGCCCGAGGTGTAGGGCCGGCCCGAGATGGCCACTCCGAGTGGGCTTGGGAAGCCCACTTCGGATGTGTGTCGGGGGGCTGCGGTGAGAGGGGAGTCCGCACCCTCTACCGCTGCAGCCGAGGTGGAGTCGCGGAGGAAGAGGAGTGTTGGTATGGCGATGCGCCACTCGCCCTATCCTCCGCGACTCGGACGGGGCCGCACCGTCAATTGATGCGGTGGTGGTGGGGCTGCGGGGGGAGAGGAGTGTCGGTATTGCGAGGCGCCGCTCTCCCTACCCTCCGCAGCCGAATCTTGGTTGGCGGCGGAGCCATAGACCAGATCCGCCACTGGGGTCAGGAAGGCTGTTGCTTCTTGGTGCTGGTTTTTCCTGGCCCCATGGCCTTCGCGCATCGGGCACGGGGGCGTCCGTTGCGCATGTGAAATTGGAGGCCGAGGAGGAGGGCGCGCCATGTGTTCTGGTGCGCCTTACCTGAGAGGGAGATGGGGGAGGAGTAGTCCTCTCCCGAGGAGGGGCCGCCATGGGGCGGCCAGCGCAGGTGGGGCCGCGGATGTGTGCGAAAGCGTTCCCGTGGCCCTGCCAATATGCGACGAGGGTGGAACACCATGGGATTTTAGTCGGTGCGAGTCCGACATAACCCGTCCTTGCCCCCGCGAGGCGGGTATGCGTAGGCATTTCCCCATGTAAATTAAAAAAAAATAAAAAATAAAAGGTTAGGTTAGGTTTTCCGGCGGCTGGCGCCCAAGCTGATGGGTGCAGCGGGCGCGCTATCAACGTTGCTTCCCAACTTGGGGGGCCCGAGCGCCGCCTGTAGGCGGTTGTACGTGGGAATCGTGCGGTCCATGGCCCTGTATGGGGCCCCTGTGTGGGCGATGGACATGACGGCCAGCACTCTCGCCATTCTGCGTAAACCGCAGAGGGCGATGGCCGTCAGAGTCGCCCGCGGGTATCGCACGATTTCCTACGAGGCGGCTTGCGTCCTGGCCGGATCCCCGCCCTGGGACCTAGAGGCGAAAGTACTCGCGTCATTATATCGATGACGCGAGGAAGAGCGGGCACGGGGCTCGAGGCCGGTGCAGCGGCAGATCGCGCTGCGCCGAGAGGAGCTCCGTCAGGTCTTGGTGGCGGAATGGCGGCAAAGGCTTCTGCGCCCTACCGCAGGCCTCGCTACCGTCGAGGCGATCCGGCCAGTACTCGACGACTGGCTCGGGAGAAGGCACGGCTCCCTGTCGTTTAGGGTGACGCAGGTGCTGTCGGGGCATTACGGTACTTACGTACAGTAGTTACGGTTTTTGGAGAGCTGTCTGTGTTCTCAGCTGCTGGTTTGCGCGCTGTTGCTCTAGTCTTCTGAGATGGAACAATCTTCTGTTTTGGTCGAGCCACCGGGGCTACCTTTTTTGGTGAGATTTGTTTTGTAGGTTCCACATCTATTTTTCCCATTTCCCACTCACCAATGCTTTTCCTTACGCTAGAGACTTGCAACGCACTATCGCTTTTAGGAGAAGGCCCAGCCTTCGCTCTCCTGCTTGGAGATTCCGGAGGACTCGTGTCCCTGGCACTATCCTCAGTCTTTTTAACGGGCGTACGAATGCCGAACATTTTCAGGGGAACGCGTCTCGGGTCTCAATAACCAATAAAACAAGTTATAAATAAAATAAAAATAAAAATAAAGCAAAAAATAATTAAAGTAAAATAAAATAAAGTAAAACAAGCAACAATACACAACACAAATAACAAAGTCAATTTATAATAAATTTTTAGGTTTGTAAAAGTTATAAAATCCTTTTTCAAAAAATTTCTTGAAAAATTTTTTGGAAGTTTTGAAGGTTGTTAAGGTGCGGTATTTAATTCCTCAATCAGCAAAACCACACAAATGCCGCGTCACAACAATATTATTATAAAAAATTTTTTGCTCTATGTAGAGTCTCGACTCTATCTTCGTTAATATGTCACTAAGTTTACACGTACAATACAATATAAATGTCGCAATTAGAATTTCTAGAAATTTTTTACTTTAATAATCTATAATAACTCTACCTAGAGTCTGTCTGTATCTTTCTTAATATATATTTCAAATTTAATTACCAACTAAGTTACTTTAAAAAAATTTTTAAGAAAAAATTTTTTCTTGCTCTACCTAGAGCTTCTCTATTTTCTAGCCTTAATCTTATAAACTACACATCAAATTATATATACAATTATCACACTTAATTTCTAATTATATTTTGCTCTGGCACAAAATAAAAAATTTTACAAGGCTCTATGTAGAGTCAGTCTAAAACTAAATTACTAGATCTATTTTTATAAAGTTATTTACAAAAAACCCCGTCAAAATCGGATCACTGGTTACTTTATAATTACAATTTTAAATTTTTCATCCCCCAGAGACTAAGTCCAGAAGTCAAGTTAGGGGTAGGGGGATGAAACTTGGTTTTGGATGGAACAAAATGATCCGGTGGGGGTCGAAGACTATCCCTTAGGTGGATAGTGTGGAGGGGGGTGACGGGGGGGGGGGGGCGAAAAAAATGTTAAAATTGAGCTAGGAAGCTCCGTTCTCCTGAAAACTGAAAAACAAGTTTTCGTGCGGTTTTCAGGAGCTCCCACCTCACACAAATAAATTCGTATCTCTGAAAGCACTTGCTCTAAAATTCTGAAAAAATATGTTTTGAATAGCTTATTAAATTGGGAATATGATAGTAATTTTGGAAAAAAAATTTTCTTGGAAATTTTTGGAAATTTTTAATTTTAAAAAATGAATTATAAAAACCAAGAACCGCAAAAAGAGCCTAATCCGAAAATTAACAATAGGAAAATTTTGAAAAAATTTGGGTTAATAGTAATAAGTATTTCCTACCTTTATGAATTTTTTTCAGATTTTTCAGGCGCACTTTCAGGACACCACGTGATTTAGCTTAATAATAAAAAGTCTCTTACAATTATTGTTTGCACTCCAAATTTCGAAATTTTGGTGTCTTCTTGTAGGTCTTGAATTGCTCTTTCATATGACGTCAAAAAACATATATGTCCTCACTGAAAATTTAAAGTTTTTTACTTTTAAATTTTTTGACTGAAAATCTGTATCTTCACAGCGTCATAACTTCTTTATTTCTTGACCAAATTTTTTGGCCAAGGTGTCAAATGATTTGTCTTGCCGTCTTCTTTATAAAACCGTCGTCAAATTTAGCCGCACACCTTCAGGTCTTAAAACACGTGGCCACGTGGTTTTTTAGTTTTGGCAATATTTCCGTGCGCGAGCGTCGAAAAATTTTTCTGATTGCTCAAAAAGTTAGAGCTAATCAGGGCGCTTCTAACGACACTAAAAACCACTATGTTGTCGATTTAGATTAGGCAGCGTTTCACTTTAAAGTTTTTGGGGTTAGGAAAAAATGGTTTTTCCGTGATAACTTTTTATTTTTCACACTTTTTCCGCTTTTTCACTTATCACCATGTTCGTCTCGTCGAGACGAATCTTTCGGTGTATCACAATTCGTAATTTGATCAACTTGACCCACAACTTTGATTTTTAAGACGCGGAGCCGAGGTGGAGTCGCGGAGGAAGAGGCGTGCTGGTATGGCGATGCGCCACTCGCCCTATCCTCCGCGACTCAAACGGGGCCGCACCGTTAAATGATGCGGTGGTGGTGGGGCTGCGGGGGGAGAGGAGTGTCGGTATTGCGAGGCGCCGCTCTCCCTACCCTCCGCAGCCGAATCTTGGTTGGCGGCGGAGCCATAGACCAGATCCGCCGCTGAGGTCAGGATGGCTAGTGCTTCTGAGTGCTAGTTTTTCCTGGCCCCATGGCCTTCGCGCATCGGACACGGGGGCGTATAACCCGTCCTTGCCCCCGCGAGGCGGGTATGCGTAGGCATTTCCCCATGTAAAAAAAAAACAAAAAAAAAGGTTAGGTTAGGTTAGGTTTTTTTTTTTTTCTTTGTTCTAGTTCCCCTGACGTGAGGAGAT